ACAGTATAGTGTAAACATAACTTTTATATGCACTTAGAAACCAAAAAATTGGTGTCACTCACTTTATTGCAGTATTCACTTTATTGTGGTGATCTGGAATGAAACCTGCAATATCTATGAGATATGCCTGTAGATAAATCAAAACTGAATTCCAAAAAATGTTCGAGTAATCCAAAGGAAGAGAGAAAAAGAAAAAAAAGAAGCACAGAACAAACAGAAAACAAAAAGTTAGTGTCAGACTTAAGCCCTAACATGTCAATAATTCCCTTAAATGTAAGTGATCTACATACACCAGTTAGAAGATAGAGAGTGACAGAGTAGATTAAAAAACATGAACCAACTACATGTCATCTACAAAAAAAGTCACTTTAAATATAATGATATTGGAAAGTTGAAAGTAAAGGGATAGAAAAATATATATCATGCAAACATTAATAAAGAATGGTTACATTAATATCAAATAAAGATTTTAGATCAGATAAAATTACTGGAGACAGAGGAGGCATTACATAATGATAAAAGGGCGAATTCACCAAAAAAAAAAAAGCAATCCTAAATGTTTAAGATTTGCAACAGAGGTGCAAAATATGTGAAGCAAATCCTGATAAAACTGAAAGGAAAAATAGAAAAACTAGAATTACAATTAGAGACTTCAAAACACCTCTAAATTTAACAGAAAATCAGGAAGGATATAGAAGTCAACAATACTATCAACCAGTGGAATCTAAACAACATGTATAGAACACATCACCCAACCATAACATAAAATACATTATTTTCAAGTGCCCTTTGAACATATGTCAAGACAGAACATATTCTGGGCCATAAACAATCCCCCAAGGGTAAATCAGAGTAAGCAATGGCAACCCACTCCAGTACTCTTGCCTGGAAAATCCCATGGACGGAGGATCCTGGTGGGCTGCAGTCCATGGGGTCGCGAAGAGTCGGACACGACTGAGCGACTTCACTTTCACTTTTCACTTTCATGCATTGGAGAAGGAAATGGCAACCCACTCCAGTGTTCTCGCCTGGAGAATCCCAGGGACAGCGGAGCCTGGTGGGCTGCCGTCTATGGGGTCGCACAGAGTCAGACACGACTGAAGTGACTTAGCAGCAGCAGCAGCAACACGGTTAAATAAATAGAAATCATAAAGAATGTGTTATCTAACCACAAATGAATCAAAGTAGAAATCGTTAACAGAAAAATAACAGGAAAATCTGCAAACACTTGGAAACTAATACTTCACTACTAAATAATCTATGAACCAAACAGTCTCAAGGGAATCCCACAACATACTGAATGAGAATGAAAATACAACATATCAAAACTTGTGAGATACAGTTAAAGTAGTACTGAGAAGGAGATTTATGGCACTAAATGTATATACATTAGAAAAAGAGGAAAAGCCTGAAATGAATCATCTAAGCTCCCACCTAAAAAGAACAGTGACCTACACTCAAAGCAAGCAGAGAGAAGGAAAACTGAGAGCAGAAATAAGTGAAACTGAAAACAGAAAAGCAATAGGGGAAATCAGTAAAACTGATTCTTTCAAAAGATCAATAAAATTGACAAATATCTAGAAAGACTGACAAAGAACAAATAATGTAAGAGGGAAGACATACATTACTAACATCAGGAATAAAGCAGGGAAAAGCACTACAGATCCTATACACATCAAACCATAATAATGGAATACAAAGAAACCAACTCTACACACATAAATTTGATTACTTAGATGAAATAGACCAATGCCTCAAAAAAACACAAACTATCAAAATCCACCCAATATGAAATACATAATTTGATTAGCCTCACAACTATTAAGGAAAATAATTTTGTAATTTTAATGCTTCCCCAACAGTAATTTTTTGACTCAGATGTTTTCACTGAAGAATCCTACCAAACACTGAAAGAATTAACACTGAGGCTACATAATCTCTTCTAGAAGAACAGAAGAGGAGGGAACACTTTAAAATTCATTTTATAAAGCTAATATTACCCAAATAGCAAAACTAAACAAAACAGTACTGAACAAGAAAACTACAGGCAAATATCTCTCATGAAGGTAGGTTTTTAAATCCTTAGTAAAATATTAGCAAATAAAATTAAGCAATGTATATTAAGAATTATAAACCATGACCAAGTTGAGTTTATTCCAGGAATGCAAGACTGGTTCAGTACTTGACAATCCATCAATGTAATCCACCATGTTAACAGACTAAAGAAGAAAAATCACACAAACAGTTCAATTGATGCAGAAAAAATATTTGACAAAATTCAATGCCCATTCATATTTTTAAAAACTCTCAGAAGAATAGAAACAGAGGGTAATTTCCTCAAGTTGATAAAGATCATCTACCAAAACAAAAGCAAAAACCCTACCGCTAATAGCATACATAATGTGGAGAGATGAAATGCTTTGCCCAAGACCCAGAACAAAGCAAGTCTGCCTACATTCACCACTCTTATTCAGTATAGTGCTAGAAGTTATAATCAGTGCAACAATAAGGCAAAAGAGGAAATGAAAGGATATAGATTGAAAAAAATGAAATAAAACTGTCCCTATTCACAGTTGACATGATCCTCTACAAAGATAAGTCCAAAGGATCTATGCACCCCCCCAAAAAAAAACCACCTAGAAATAGTCAGTTGAACAAGGTCATAGAATACAAGATGAACATACTAAAGTCAACTATGTTTCTACATACTAGCAGTGCACATGTGAACACCAAAATTAAAAATACAGCACCATTTACAATCACTCAAAAAATGAAATGCTTAGTGTAAATCTAACAAAATATGTGCAGGACATAAATGTTGAAAATTATAAAATATTCATTAAAAATCAATGAAATTTAAATAAATGGAGATACAAATACATACCCAGGTGTTCATAGATTCGAAAACTAAACATAGTAAAGATGCCATTTCTCCTCAAAATTATATATGGCTCTAACATGATTCCTATGAAAATCCTATCAAGATTTTTTGTAGATATAGACAATATTATTCTAAAATGTATATGCAAACACAAAGGATTTAGAATAGCTAAAACAATTTTGAAAAAGAATAAAGTTGAAGGAAAGGGTCTAACTATATTCAAGACATATTCCATAGTAATCAATACTGTATAGTGTTGGAGGAGGGATAGACACATTGATCAATGGAACAGAATAGAGAATGCAGAAATAGATGTACAAAAATATGGTTAACTGGTTTTCTACAAAGATGCAAAACCAATTCAATGGAGGAAGCATAGACTTTCCAGCAAATGATGCTGGAGCAATTGGACAATCACAGGTAAAAGAATGAACCTTGGCTTAAATCTCAAACTTTACATGAAAATAAACACAAAAGAGACCACAGATTTCAATCTAAAACCTAAAGTTGTGAAACTTTTAGTAAAAAAAAAAACAGGACAAATTATTTGGGATCTAGGGTTAGACAAAGAGTTCTTGATATCAAAACCATGACTTACGGAGGAAAAATTTGGTAAGCTGAACTTCACCAAAATTGGAAATTTTGCCTGAGAAACACCAAGAGATAAAAAGACAAGTTACAATGTGGGAGAAAATATTTGAAAGGCACATATCCAACAAAGAACAAGTATCTAAAATATAGAAAAAACTCTCAAAACTCAAGGTCAAAAAAAAACCCAAACAGTTCAGTTATAAAATGGGCAAATCAAATAACAAAGATTTAACCCAAGAGGATATGGCATAGAAGGCAAAAGGGCACATGAAAAGATGAACATGACTAGCCACCAGGGAAACACAAATTAAAACCACAGTGAGATGTCAATACACATATATCAGAATGACTAAAATTAAAAAATTAAGACAACATCAAATGCTGGTGAGGATGCAGAGAAACTGGATCCTGTATACACTGCTGGTGAGAATGCACAATGGTATAGCCGCTCTGGAAAATAGCTTCTTAAAAAGCTGAAATACACTTATAATATGACTCAGAAATTGCACTCCTGGGTATTTTCCCCAAAGAAATGAAGATTTGTGCTCAAAAAAAATATCTGTATATGGATGTTTATAGCAGGGGTTGTAACAACCCAAAGCTGAAACCGTATATACATGCCATGGAATACTACTTAGCAATAAAAAGGACTGAAGTTTTTGATACATGTAACAACTTGGACAAATGTCCACTTCTCTCATTTGTAACAAGGAGGAGGGTGTCTCAAGAGCCTTTTGGTTTGGGAATTCAAGATAACAGGTGAGCAGAGTGGGGCAAGATGGGAGTATATTTGAACAGTTTAAGGGTTTAATTTCACTTTATTTTTTAGAACTTTTAGAGATTCAGAATAATCATAAATAAGTGGCTTGACAAATGCCAATTGTTGTGCTTCGTGGGCATCCTAAGGAGCCCATTTTGGAAGCATGAGACTGAGGAGAAGGGGAATTTAGGGTGGGTGCATTCTGTTGGCACAAGCGGAAGTCTGCTTAGCTGTAGTGAATGAGTCAATGAGAGTGGCTGTTGGTTTCTCACACCGAGATGGGACAGGGTGGATTTGAGGCCTAAACTGAAAGGACTCTGTGTTCCCAGGACCATAAGGAAATGTCTTTGTTCTGACACACAAAATTAAGTGTTCATCACTCAAGGCAACGAAAGAACTGGAGAGAGACAAATTGCCTCCAGAACACTAGGAGCAATGGGAAGTCCAGTGTCAGAGCACACTCAGCTAACAGTATTTGTCATGTGATTCTCAAGCATGACCAGTTGTCTGCCTTGTGTTCAGGCTAGGACGTGAAGTAGGCAGTTAAGAGTCTGTGAGAACTCTCCACAAGCTCAATAGTCACACACCACAGTACAAAAGCGGGACTTAAAAGCGGGAATTAGAACCCAGCTCAAAATGGAAGCACCCGTTGCTATGGGGCCTAATGCGGACGTATGAAGGGTCTCCCAACAGCCAATCCTAGTGCCAGACGTGTTCACGAGGCATAACAATGGAGAGACGTTGGCCAATGGCAGAGAGGACCGTGAATAGGGTGAGAGCAACGGGCGCTTGAGGAGAGCAGAACGCAGTGGCCAGGGGAGGTTGAAGAGCTCTAGCTAGGTTGGCGGTTGGACTGTTGATGTAAACGGTAGTAGTACTTAAGCTGCCACCAAACTTCTCGCCTGCCATTAAAGATCATGGAAGATTCACAGAGTGAACAACAGCGGATGTTACGACGCCACCAGCGTGAGAAGAAAGAGCTACAGGACCGCATTCAGCTCATGAGGAGTTCGGTCCCCAAGAGCGACAAGACGAGAAGAAAGCAGTTGCATCTCGACGTGGCCCGCCTTGAGGCCGAGATGAAGCAGAAGCACCAGCAGGAACTGGAGAAGTTCCTTGATTCTGTCACTGAAGATCTAGCCAAGATGGATCTTGAGAACCAGTCTCCACACTTCCTCAGGGCACGGAGAAAGCAAGAAAGAAGGGTTGCCCTCCTGAGAGCACGCCAGGGGAGGAGTGCGGAGGTTAACATGGAGTATCTGGCCAGCTTCCGCCAAAGCGAGGAAGAGAAGCTCGGCGCCATCCTGGAGGCCAAGCATCTGGAGATGAAGGAAATGCCGACTGATAGCCACTGCATGTATCGTGCCATCCAAGACCAGCTGGTGTTCTCCGTAACCGTGGAGAGCCTGCGGAGCCGCACTGCCGAGTACATGCGGAAGCACATCGATGATTTCTTGCCTTTCTTCAGCGACCCCGAAACCGGTGATGCCTACAGCCGCAGCCACTTCTTTCGCTACTGTGACAAGATCGTGAGCAGTGCATTGTGGGGAGGCCAACTGGAGCTGAGGGCCCTGTCACACATCCTGCAGACCCCCATCGAAGTGATCCAGGCCGACTCGCCAGCCATCGTCATTGGAGAGGAGTATACCAGGAAGCCGCTAATCCTGGTCTACGTGCACTACACCTGCAACTTCGGGGAGCACTACAACTCCGTGAAGCCGCAGGAGGCCGGCGCCACTGGGGGCGCAGCCCCTCGTCTCTTCTAGACCGGCCTTTGTCATCGCTGTTGGCGGTTGCCACCGGAGCCGAAGCCGCCGCTACCGCGTCTCCTCAGTAGACTCTCTTTTCTTTTTTCCTTCGGTTTTCTTGTTTTATTTTTTTCTTCATTTTACTTAGAGCTCATCCCTCTTCTCTCTGCCCTCCACCCGCTACCTACCCACCTAGCTCTTCTATCCCCTACCATCTTCCCTGAGTTGCTTCTTAAGAGATCTGTATAGTCCTCCCTGAGGGGAGTGAGTTTGTCAAGTTTTCGCCACTTCTTGCCCTGAAGGGTCTCTTTCCCCACCCCCGTGAGAACCGGTCTTGTTACAAATAACTTTGAGGTTCAAAAAATGGCAACTTGGTTTGATGCATTCTTCACCTGGGGGGCGGGGGTGGGGCGAAAATCAGTTTAGCTCAGAATCTTCCCATTGTCCTGTGAATGTATTAATTACTTAAAGGAGCTGATGTGATCAAAATGATTTGTTTTGAGAATGAATTTTGCTTAGTTCTTTGGGAAAAAAATGTACTGTGCACTGTTATAGAGGGTTGCTTTTTCCTTTACCTGGGCTACTCAGGAGATGTCTCAAGTTACAAACAAGACCTCCTCTAGTATTTTGCTTTGTTTTTTCATAAAACCTTGCGTGGTTGCAAATTAATTGTAGTTTAGATGCTTGCTGAATTCTAAATAATAGCGTTTGTTAAATTTGGAAGTTAAATGTAAGCATTAACTATAGAAAATAGATTTACCTAAACTGATAATCTAGATGAGATTTGCTCTAAGATGTGAAAGATCTCAATTTAATTTCCTTTATTAATGATAGGAAAGGATGTGACTTTATTCAAGTAGTTGATCTATTTTATTATATCTGCAATTGGTGTGAAGTAAAAAGAAACAAGCTGAGAGGTAGCTTAACTTACTGTGAGGGGTGAGATCTGAACTAGTAAGTAAGTTTCCTTTATTCTCAGACACAAGAGGGTAAAACTTTATTCAAGTAGTTGGTCTACTTTGTTCTATCTACAACCAGTTATGAAGTGTGAAAGATCGGAACTTAGTAATTTTCCTTAATTCTTAGAGATAACAAGTATTTTAAAAGATTTTAAAAATATTAAAGTAGTTGACTGTTGTTATATCTGCAACTGGTATGAAGCAAAAAAAGTGAGCAATATACTTTTGTTGATATTTGAGACATGTTGTTATCTTGAATTTGCCAAAAAAATAGTAAAAGTGAAATGACTTGCAGTACATTTAAAAATAACCTTTAGATCTTGTATTTCAGTGAGATTGCTTAAATTCATTTAAGAATTGTATGTACACATCAAATTTCTAAAATAAAATGTATAACATCAGAAAATATATGCAATGTGTTTAAAGAATAAAAGCAGTTTAAAAATACCTAGTTCTCTATTTTTGTATAGCTGGCTTAGTTCATATAGAGCTTGTATCCCAGAATCTACTTCGGCAAATGAATCCTGGAGGGTTAGGGAGTAGGAGTGAAGGGGGAGGACACAGGAAAAGGTGAGGTTTTGGGGAGGAGGAATGGGCCTGCAGTCTTGGTGGTAGCCTGCAGTGGAATGCCTTCCAGGGAAGAATTTAGGGAGTAACAAGATAGTTGAGGCTATCCTGAGTTGATGTTTCACTCAGTGAAAACATGAAATGACTTCAGTTACAGGTGTTCTCATTGCTATGCATGAAAAAGAACTCCCACTTTCCAAAACTTGCCAGTCCAGGGCTAGTTGCAGGAGCAAAAGTACCACTGCTTTTTTTCCTAAGGGGAAGGGGTCCTGTTCTCAAAATACAAATATGGAATCCTGCCAGATTGCTCACTGTGTAAATGTGTGCATCAGTTACATTTTCATATAGACAGTTGGCTGAGAAGAGGAAGTCCCCGAGAAAACTAGGTATTTGGATGCATTGTGAGAAGAGAACCTTTTATAGAGACGAGAATGCTGGCTGGGGAGAGAAGAATAGGCCAGGAAGGGAGGCATAATCTGTAGAAGGGGGCCTGGCTGGGAAAGAGGGTGAAAGCTGGGGAAGGGGTCAGTCTAGGAGGATGAATGGGATGGGGCAGGGGAAAGGGGAACAGGCAGAAGAAGGGGAGATGGCTGGTTAAGGGAACCTGGAACCAGTGTGAAGAGGGAGGCCAGGCTAGGAAGGGGATAATGGGGTGGGGCTGGTTAGGGAAGGAGGACTTGGCTGATCAAGGGAAAGAGGCTTAGTTGAGTTAGGGGGCAAAGGATAAGAAAGGAATACTTGACTAATAAAGGGGGGAAAGACTGCGACCTGGCACCTGACCAGGGAAGATCTGGCTAGGAAAGTAGGCTAAGCTGGGGAAGAGAGTGAGGCTGGGGAAAGAGGCCTGGATGTGAGAAGGGGCCTGTCTTAGAAAAGGAGCACAGACTTGATAGGATGGCACAAACTGAGGATGGGAGGCTAGCTGGGATGGGGGGATTAGGAGGTAAAAATATCCTGGCAGGGAAAGGTGGCCTGCCTGGGGAGGGGTTCTGGCAAGGGAGTGGTGCCTGGGAGGGAGGGGACGTCTGCCTAGGGAATGAGAGGGTGGTTAGAGGTTTGAATGCTGAGATCTACATAGGTTGGGCATGCAATAATAGGCGGGTTGATGGACCTGGCTGGGAGAGGGGGCTTAGCAGGTGGGGAGGGCCTGCTAGACAGGGATTCTGCCTGAGAACAAGGGTGTGTATCCTGACAGGTCCTGGCTGAGGGAGGGCACATGGTTGAGGAAAAGAATCTAGCTGAGGGTGCAGGGGCACAGGCTAGGGATGGGGGGAAGGTCTGGCTGAGGAGAGGGAATAAGCTAGGGAAGGGGGTTGGCTGAGGAAGGGGTACAGCAGTTGAGGAAGAGGACCTTCCTGGGAAGGAGGCCAGCCTGGGAAAATGAGCTTCAGTTTGGAGAGAGGCTGTAGGTTCTGGTGTGAAGTGAGCCTGGCTGAGGGGAGGAATCCAGATGGGAAAGACTTGCCAGCTGGGGGCATGTGTGGGTGAAGGGTTCCTGGCAGGGAAAGGTCACATGTTTGGGGGAGGGACTTTACTGGTGATGGAGAGCTGAGAGAGGGGAATGCTTGCCTGGGGAAGGAGGCACTGGCTATAAAAGGCCAGTGAAGGGGAACCCCTTAGAAAAGTGGTCCAGCTGAAAAGGGAAAAGACGGGCACAGGCACCTGGCTGTCAGAAGGAGGCCCCTTCTGGGGTAGGGGTCCCATGAGGGCAAGGGGACAAAGATTTGAAAAGGGGCCTTGCCTGGGGAAGGGTAGCCTAGCTAAGGAGGCTGTCAACAGGGTCGCAGATTTGGGGAGGAGCCTGGCTGGGTGAGGGTCCTGTGAGCAGAAGGGTCCTAGATGGGGAAGAAGATGGACTGGATTGAGGCCTGTCTGGGGAAGGAAGGCTGGGACCATAGGATGATAAAGAGGCCGGGCTGCGGCACAGAGTTGCAAAACTTCCAGGTAAGTGGTTAGAGGCTGGAGAGTTGGGCACAGGATGATAAGATGGCTGGTTTAGAAAGGGGCAAATCCAAAGAAGGAGGCATAGGCTGAAGAAGAGGGTCTGGCTGAAGAAAGGGTCCTGGCTAGGCCAGGGGACATAGACTGGGAAAGGAAAACCAAGTTGGGTCAGGGAGCCTGGGTACAGGCTCAGAGAAGGGAGCAGTAACACTCTGGGGCAAGGGCCTGGGTAGGGTTGCTGCAAAAGGGGATACTGGCTGGGAATGTGACTCGGCTGGGGAGAAGATCTAGGTGGGTTTAGAGGAAGCCTGCCTAGCAGGAGAAGGAAACCAGGCTGGAAAGCTAGACTTGGCCAGGGAAGCAGGCATAGGTAGCTGGGGTGGAAGGCATAAATGGACAAAGAGAGCCTGGATGAGGAGGGTCTGGCTGATTTTGAAGTACAGGCAGGTTATGGGCTTCTGATAGGGGATGAGTTATGTACTGGAGCAGGCTGCATAATGTGGGGAAATGGGACTACCTGGAGGGGGCAGTGGGGCTGGCTCCAAGGGTATGTAGACTGAGGAGCAGCATTTGGGAAGTAAGAAATGAGGAATAGGCTGGTAACAAGGACTAGGGGCCTGGTTGATATAGGGTATAATTGGTATAAGATGAAAAAGGGATTCCTGGCTTTTGAAGGAGGAAGGACTAGGGCGTGGCACCTAGCTAGGGAAGATATCTGCACATAAAGTAGGGAGGGGCTGGGTAGAAATGGGGAGGAAGGGTACACTAGCCAAGGAAGGGGGCATGGGTGGAGCAGAGGCCCTGAGTGGAAAAGAGGGCTTAGGCTGGTGAAGAGGGCACTGTCTGGATAATGTGGGCTTCGCTGGGAGTGGTGGGGGCGGGGCTTGTGCTGCCCAAGGAATTCTTTGGCAGAAGGCACCAAACAACTCAGCAGAGTCCCATTTTACAGGCTTGTCCTTAAAAAAAGAGAAATAACTATTTCTGTCTTGGGAATCCTCAAGATCTTACTGGGTCTGTCCCCAGCATCCTCCACTGGATTTGCCTTCTTCTGAAAGGACAGGGAAGAGTAAACCCAGGCCAGAGCCCACCCAGACCCAGAGCACAAAAAACAAGGGGCCTTCACTGTGGGATCTGGCAGGACAGAGGGACTTGCAGTCTGTCTTATTTTGTAACAGTGACCACAGTCACTAAGGACAGTGATTGTTCTGGGCAATTTTGTGTGCAAAAGCCATGGGGTACTGTTCCCAAAGGAATCCAATTCCAGAAGCAACTTCATTAATTTATTTACTATTCTTCATTCACTCATTATCATGTCTTTTTGCCTTAGGAGCCAAAGACAAGGACATCTAACTGGATTTGAAGCCCAGTTCATCTATCCACTTCCTATTTTTGTGACTTGGATAAGTCATTGAATCTTTCTGGGCTTCAGTTTCCTCATCAGTGACGTGAGACTGTTAATACTTGTCTTAGAGGTATCTCTTGGGAAGTTAGGTACATTAAATGAAAATACACATAAAATGTGTGATAAATGTTAGTATCATTACCTAGGGGCCTAAGACTATGACAATATCAGGTATGGTAGCAAGCACTCCTTCATTTTGTCTACAGTAACTTTTGGAGCCACTTAGCCTCTTTCCACAGGTCCCACAGTGGAAGCCAGAGCTCCTTGGTCTACAGTGTAAAAGCAAAAGCCACTGGAGCTTATCAAAGTGCCCTCTTGGGGACAGGGTGGCCCGTGTACAGGGACTCTTCAGGTCAGTCAGTATCTTCCTTCCAGGCTTTTTCTACACAAACACATAGACACACATTGTAAAAATCAAACTCGTATCGTTCTATTCAAACTACTTTTTTTTTCTTTTACTTAACAATACAATATAAGCATTTCACTTTGTCCTTAGTCTTCAATATGATGATTTTAATGCCTACATTCTAGCTTGTGAATGTGCCATGATTTATTTATTCTATTCTATTGTTGGACACTTAGATTGCTTTCAATTTCTCACTGCTATAAATATGCCATTGTAATATCCTTGTAGCTGAGTCCTTGTCTATATTTCTGATTATTTCCCTTTGATAAGATTTCTAGAAGGGATCTAGATCAAAAGGAGAGGCTTTTAATGCATACTGGTAAATTGCCCTCCAGAAACAGTGCACCAATGTACACTCTCAGGGGATGAGTGTTATTTTTCCATATAATTGTGAACACTGAAAATTATCATCTTTGCTAATTTGTTAAGTGAAAAATGTTGTATTAGTTGACCCTTTGTTGATTACTACTAAGATGGAATATTCCTCTAAGTATTTATTAGCATGTATATTTCATTCCTGACCTTTGCTTAATTTTCTATGGGTTTGTATTCTTCTTAGGGATTTTTAATAGGTCTTTCCACTTGTCATTCAGATTTTTAAAAAATAATTTTTCCTATATATTATTAACCTTTCAGTTTTACATATGCTAAAGTTTAAAATTGTAGTGGAGTCTATCTATTGATCTTTTTCTTCATGGTCTCTGTCTTGTTATCATGCTTAGAAAGGGCTTCCCCATCCCTAGGTTGAATCAACATTTTTATATACTTTCTTTCAAGTTATTTATGCTTTCTGTTTATATTTAATACTAGCATATCCACCTGGAAATTATTTGGGTGTAAGATAAAGACATAAATTGATTTTCTCCAATTACGGTAATTAAGCAGTTAGCCCAGCACCACTTATTGAATAATCCACCATTTCACCACTGATTTGAAGTGCCACCTTCCACATATATTCCATTCTTAATGAGAGGGTAGATTGCTTTTCAGTCAGTCACACAGATAGCTGCATTCCAGTGACCTCCATTTGAAACTGCCAGCTGTCCATTCATCCATTCACTTCATATTTATTGAGGAGAATGATGATAAACAATAGAG